CGCTTTGGAGACCAGGCTGGCCTCGAACTCACAGAGATCCGCCTGGCTCTGCCTCCCGAGTGCTGGGATTAAAGGCGTGCGCCACCACCGCCCGGCTCGTTTCTTGTTTCTTTTTTTCGTTCTTTCTTTTTGGGTTTTGGAGACAGGGTTTCTCTGTGTAGCCCTGGCTGCCCTGGAACTCGCTTTGTAGACCAGGCTGGCCTCGAACTCACAGAGATCCTCCTGCCTCTGCCCCTGGAGTGCTGGGATCAAAGGTGCGCACCGCTGGCACACCAGGCCCTGGAGTTTCTTTTGCTGCTGTCCATTTCACCCTTACACCAGGCCTGTGCCGACACTCAGGACACAGAAATGTCCCCTGGAGGTTCACAGTGGAGGTGGAAAGGGCGGGTACCACCGAGGCTTCCCTTTTATACCCACCCACCTTGGGTCCCGCGTGTCTCCTCCACTAGCCAAGGAGAATCTGTCTCGGCCCCTGTCCCGCCTGCCCCGGGGTCCAGCTCACCTGTCCACGGAGACGGCGGCCAGAGTGAAGCTGCTGGCGTACATGGTGAGGTAGATGAGCAGGTGCACGGCCTTGCACACAAAAGCCCCGAAGAGCCAGGCATCCAGCGTGTAGATGGCCGCCTGGAAGGGCACGCAGCACAGGAGGAAGCAGAGGTCGGCCACCGCCAGGTTGAGGATGAAGAGATCTGTGGTACTGCCCGGCTCCTGCCAGGCGCTTGGGCCAGGCTGCAGCAGCACAGCCAACACCAGCCCGTTGCCCACCATGCCCAACAGGAAGATGAGGGCAAAGACCACAGGCACCGCCACAGCCCCTATGCTCCCTGGGCTGTCCAGCGAAATGTTCTGGATGTCAGACATCTTCCTATCAGATGAGCAAGAGAAAAACGGGTCCTCAGACGGGGAGGCCAGGGCCCCGGGCCCTTGACCCAGGGGCCTGGTTCCTCCAGCCTGGAACTGACGAGGTGCCCTGGGCTAGAAGTTCATGAGAGATGGAAGAGGGTAGAGCAAAGCAGGGGGGAAAAAAATCACTGCGTGAGCAAGAACCGGACACAGTCACATTGGTGTGTGTGTGTGTACGCGTGCGCGTGCACACGTGCGTGTATGCTCTCACGTGAGCGCTACCCCTTGGTTTCCTAGGGAACACCTCTGTAACCTAGAGTCTGGAAGGCCATCTGGGTTACTCTGGACGTAGGCATGTGAAGACACGGGTAGAATAAGATGAAGACGTGGGTGGGGGGCAGCACAAACTCTGGATGTGGGCATATTTTCCTTTTCAACCAGCTCTGAGTTCAGGAGAGACCCTTGTATTTAGGGACATGTGTGTGGCCACAGGCTGCCCTGGTGACATCCCCGAGCCATTGGAGAGTCCATTCTCACACAAGCCCCACAGTGGCAAAGCTATGAACACCATGGAAGTCACTGCCTCTGCTCTGTGCAGAGGGAAACTGAGTCTTAGGGAGGTGATGGGAGTGACAGACCTGGGGCTGGAGTGCTCGTCTGAAAGACTGTAACAGGTGGTGCCCCTGGCTCCTCGCGCACGTCCCAGAGCACATGTCTGCGTGCACACTGCCCGTTGTCATCCCTGCCCCACCCCACAGTTCCCAACCTGTGGATCCGGGACCCCTGGAGCGGTGGGGTCAGGAGGAAGGGTGGAGGGAAGGAAGACGATATCTGCCCCTGCGTAGCACCCATCATGCCGCAGGCCCCCAAGCCCGGGGATGGGCAACACCCACCTCAGCCCTAGGCACCGGGCCCCTGCATGCTTCCTGGTGGAGCTTCTCGGCTCAGCCGCTGCCTTTGGTGCCTCCCTGCAGGGACGGCTCTGCTTCCTATTTCTCTTCCTTCGTCTTCACGGCCCCTCCTCTCCTCTCAGCTGCCCTCGGCTCTCTGCTGAGTTGGATGTGGGCACTTGCTACTGCTCCGGAGTGGACTGGCCAGCCTCCTGCTCAGACTCTGATTTCCCCGGGGCGGCATGCTCTTCTGCCCGGCTCTTCTTTCCCTGCCCGTCTGCGCGGTTTGCTGCCTCACTCTCTCTTTCACGGGCAGTAACCCATTGATCTCGCTCTATGAGATTGGCTTGGTGGTTAACCCCTCCGTGGCCAGAGCTCAGCCCACTTCCTGGCCCCTCCCACCTCCTGTGGCCCTGCCTGTGACTCCTCCCCGCTATCTCCTAGCTCCCCTGGCTCCAGGTAGAACTCAGATCTAAGCTCAGAAAGGATTTCTAGTTTGAAATGGAGTTTCCAAGGCGAGGAAACCTGAACCAAACCACAGCCTTTGCTGTGGGTTTCAGGTAGGAACCCGTGCTTTGCGTTCTGTGAATCCCCAGAGAGCCATTTCCTGCCCTAAGCTGGTTTCAGGGGCTTCATTCACTGTAAACCGAGTCTTGGTTTAGCCTGAAAGCCATGGGGGAAGCTAGACAAGGTTCTAGAGGTAGAACACAGCCTGGGCCTTTCATTCTGTAAGGACTTGGCTATGGCTGAGGTTAAAAGAACAGAGGAGATGTCCGCTCTTAGTTCTTCTGGCAGCCTCTTGCCCGGGCAGGAACCAGAGGTTAGGAGATGTTGGGGAATGGCTATCTTGAGCCCTTAGGGCTGTGTTCTGTGGCCAAATGCTTCTAGCAGCAGAGCAGCTGCTACTTTTGGAGCAAGGGGCACTAGACTTGGCACCCCGGATTGGATCTCGGACAAGTGTATCCAGGCCTGAAGACAGTCTGCTGTGAGTTAGGAAGGGACAAGAGTCTAGAACCTGGAGGTGGAGGGGACACCAGAGAAGAGTGTGTGGGCTCCATGGAGCCAGGCCTGGGAGAGCTGGGGAACTCTTCGAGACCAGTTCCTGTGGGAAGTCTCCAGACGGCTACCAGGGTTTAGGGGGCCTCTCGATGGTCACCCACCCCACATGCAGAGACTCACTGGATTGAAGCTATTAAGGGATCAGCTCTAGAAACTGCAAAGCTGAATTTTGGAACCACTGGAGCCGATGATCTGAAAAGCAGGACCTTGGGATCCCTGGATAGGGTACCGGTAGGACTCTAGATGGGGTGTGAGGACAATGATGTGGACGACAATGCAGTAAGACATCCACAAGTGTGGACCCACATATCCACACCCAAGTCCCAGACCCAGATGAATTCCATGACCAGGAAGCCTCCGCTGCTGGCCTGGCCTCCAGACCCCCTCCTTCCCTGCTGGGGTTGGGCTCCAAAGTACCAGGGCAAAGGGTTCTGAGCAGCAGCAGGGCTGAGCTGATACAGTGGGGGGCAGGAGAGGTCACTGAGAGCCTGGGTGTGGGGCAGGAAGGACGGACCATCATGGCTGGAGCCCCAGGGTGTCCCTGCCAGCACCTCCTCTCCCCTGGCTGCTGCCCGTCTCCATCCTGAACCCCCTGGGGCCAGATGCAGAGGACAAGGACCATGTGGCCTAGGAGCGGGCCCTGGAGCCCTGGGCTCAGCACGATGAGGACGTATGGCTGGCCTGCAGCTGGTTCTCCAGTCTCCAATGCCTTACAGCTTGTCACAGGAGCTCGAAGACCCTCGGTATGGGCCCACGCTGGGACATGTGCACTCTAAGGGGCTGCTGTGTGTACTGGGCACCTCCTAGGACCCCTTCTGAAGGGCAGAGTAGCTGCAAGGCGGGGGACCCAAGCCTGGATCGGGGCGCCGGGCCCCCTGAGCTCCATCCTGGTTGACAGCATAGAATGACACCATGGCCAAGTGGCCCAGGAGGTCAGTGCAGCTGCCACAGGGACCTGCCTCCCGGAAATCAATGCCAGCAGCATGCCCGGGCACCGCAGGACGGGGCTCTTGTGCTGTGCCACTGGCTGGCAGATCACACTTCTTCCCACAGCCTCACTTAGATGTGCGTGGGCCTGGGCCTAGTGTTCTGGCCCTGGCTGGCTGTGCCACACACACACATCACCCAGTGGCTGCTCTCGGCCCCCCCGGCGTGACCTGCCAGCCTGCACAGAACAGACGTACCAAGCTGCTGGCCCGGCGCTGCACGTTGAATCGACATTCATCAGGAATACCTGGTGGTCTGCAGGCATTCCTGCCCCGGACGCAAGCGCAGCTGCCTCCTGCCAGGCTGCCACTGAGAATTCCCAGAACCCCAACTTTAAGAATCTGCAAGGTTAGGTTGGAGCTCTCTCTCTGGACAGGCACCAGGACATTGCTCCCAAGGTGTCCTGGTGCCTGACAGGTGAGCTGGAGCAGGTACGAGGCCTTGTTTCCTGTTCCTAGTGAAAAAGCAAGCGCCTTTGGTCCTCAGTTCTACTTCAAGCAAATTAAGGAGCTTCCCAAGGCCACCACACTGAGTCCTGCAGCGGCCCTCAGAAGCCTGGGAGGCTGGGCCTGAGAGAGGAGACCTCCCCTAACCTCCCCCAGTGCCAGATCAGCTGCGTGGGAAGGGAGGCTGACACCTAAGGTAATGGAGTAGGTGGTGTTTGTGAGAGGGGAAGACAAAGGACAAGGCCTTGGCGGCAGCAAACCAGCCCTTCTGGCCTTGCCTGAGGACTGCCCAACGGCCTGGTCCAAGGCCCCCAGCTCGAGGAGGCGGGGCAGGCAGCGGCTGGAGCCCGAGTTCGCTGCGCCCTCTGGTGGCTGACCATCAGACTACATAGGCTTTGGAACCAGAGTCAGAGAGGTGTGGCTCCGGCTGGAACAGCAACTCTGTAAAAAGGGGGGAACTGGGGCCTAAGGCCATGGAATTGGGGACGAAGGACTCTCTAGAAAACAAAGGTAGATGTCCTTCAGTGGTGACCCGCTTTCTTCTCTTTGGGGCCTGAGTCCTCTGCCCTCTCCCAAACACAGGTCCAGGAAACCTTAACTGGCAGCTGTGTTTTGTCCTTCCGATGGGCACAGGAGACAGGCCCACCACGGTTAGACTGAGGAAAGGGTCCACAGGGCCGGTTCTCAGCTGCCCTCCACAGCGGCACAGACTCCGGCTGCACCAACTGATAACTCCCAGGCACACGATTTCAAAACTCAATTTGGGGGAAGGAGTCACCTCACGCAGGGGACTGCCCTCAGGGACCCAGTCCCTGCCTGATTACCAGTTAGCCCCAGCCTACTCAGAATAAAGCAGACCAAAGTGTCATAAACCAATTTTCACACTGTTGTTTCTCCGACCACAAGTACAGGCCCATTTTCAGTCAGGCTCTAGAAGTCTGGGTTGGGTCAGGGCCTCTAGTCTGGACCGACCAGAGGACCCCTTTGTCACTACGGCGGTAGAGGGACCCTGGCTCTGCCAGTCCCTACCCGGAGCTTAGGGCAGAGCTCCATGCAGCCGCCCCACCTCCACGAAGGCCTCCACACAGCGGTCAATGTCCTCCTCACTGTGTACGGCTGAGATCTGGACCCGGATCCGAGCCTTGCCCTGAGGGACCACAGGGTAGCTGAATCCAATGACGAAGATGCCTGAGGAGACAGGGAAGGCACACAGAGGCAGATGGGCTTAGGGACCGTGACCTATAAGGGCCTGCTGTCCCAAAGTCCACCCACAGTGAGCTCACAGACACGGGGCTGCCGAGCCCACAGACACGGGGCTGCCTCGTAGTCTAGAGTTTGTTGAGTCTGGACAGATGGCTGACCTAAGAGGTGATGTGGGCAGGAGGAGCAGGACCTGGGTCTGGGGAGGCTCTGCAGTCTACAGGTGTTCTTTTCTCCGAGGACACGCTGCCCCCAGGTCTCTTACCTTTCCTTAACATGTCATCCGCCATTTGGGAGGACAACCGGGCATCACCCAACATCACGGGGCAGATGGGGTGGTCGGCTCCTGAGACAGTGAAGCCAGCGGCTGCCATCTTACTGCGGAACCTGGGGACACAGCTGAGCGTCACGGGGAGCGGGAGGCCCCGGGGCCAGGAGAAGAGGCCCAGGATCTATGCCACCTAAGAGAGGAAGTAATGAGGACAGAAGTACAGACCCCAAGAGCAGGTGAGGCAATGGCGGGGACGGACGGACGGACGGACGGACGGAGATGGGAAAGCAGGAGTGACAAGAAGGGCACGGGAGATGGAAGGAGGTGACAGAGGGGGTGACAGATGCTGTGACAGGGAGATGGGAGGAACAGAGGAAGGCAGGCGAGAGGAGATGCACGACTACCATCTCTCCCATTCTGCTCCGCCCCTGTGGGCACCATACCTCCGGGTCTTGGCAGCCATAGACTGGACGATGGTGTTACTCCCCATGAGCAGGTCCAGGGCCTTAGATGCACAGCCAACGACGGCAGGGGGCAGGCTGTTGGAGAAGAGGTAGGGCCGAGACCGCTGCCGTAGCAGGGATACCAGAGGCTTGGGCCCTGTGGTATAGCCCCCTAAAGACAGAAAATGATGCAAGAGGAGCCAGTCAGGGGCCAGGAACTGCCCCAGACCCCTCCTGTCGTCCATACTGCCCTCCCCTCCATTTGCCCTCCCTGCCTTCTCTGCCCCATACAAGGCAGGCCATGCATGTAGGGAAGGAGACCCCACAGACAGGATTCTGTAGGCACCTGATGCTCCGCCGAGCGCCTTCCCCAGAGTGGAGTTGATGATGGTGACTTGGTCCATCACACCTAGCAGCTCATCTGTGCCTCTGCGAAGGAAGCAACCGCTCTTGCCCCTGGCCTCCCGACTTCCCACCCACCTTCAGAAGCCCCCACCCAGGCCGCAAATGTTCCCACCGTCCAGTGGGCCCAAGAAAGCCGGTGGCGTGGCATTCATCCACAAAGACCAGGGCCCCATATCGAGCAGCGAGGCGGCAGATCTCCTGCAGAGGAGCAATGTCGCCATCCATGGAGAAGGCTCCGTCTGTGGCCACCAGGCGCAGCCGGTGCTTCTGTGGGACAGACGAGAGCATGTGATAAGGGGCAGGACCAAACGACCTGCTCTTTAACGGCCTTGAGGCTGTAGCCTGAGCCTTGTCCAACTCTTCTGAGCTCAGCCGCCTTAGTCTTGGCACTGGGAAAGGGCTTAGACCTCCCCGTCCTGACTCAGACCTCAAGAGGGCATTCGGGAGTAGGGACAGGTCCTAGTCACACGTCATCCACCCACCTGCTGCTCAAAGGTGCTTACTGATCTCAGGCCATGTGCAACTATAGAATACAGTCTTGGACACAAGGGATGAGGAAGTTGAAATGGCTCCCTCGGCCCTTCAGCCTGTCTGTGAAGGGGGAGCCCCCCCCCAAGCCTATTTCCTTGAGTAGGGGAATACAGGCCTTTCTCTGGAGCCCCAGGGCCTCACCTCACCTGAGCATCTTGTAGCTTAGCTTCTAGGTCAGCCATGTCCAGGTGGCGGTAACGGTACTTATGGGCCTTGCACAACCGGATGCCGTCGATGATGGAGGCATGGTTCAGCTCATCCGACAGGACTGCGTCCTCGGGGGTCAGCAGAGCCTGTGGGGAAGTGTTTGTATACAGCCACCCAGGAGTTCCCCTTCCCTGTTAACTTCCCCCCAGACAAAACTCTACCTCTACCCTGGGTGCCTAGGGCCAGGTGAAAACCGCAGGTCGGTACCAGGCCCCCTCACCCCTGCCTTCCGGCTTCCACAAGTTGCTCTGTGGCACCGACACTCTGCCAAGCTCTCCCGGCTGCCCACCTCCAAGTCATCCACAGCCTCCACACACCTCAAATAGGCCGGCGTTGGCATCAAAACAGCTGGGGTAGAGGATGGCATCCTCACGCTGGTGGAAATGGGCTAGCTTGGCTTCTAGATTCTTATGGATGCTCTAAAGGATACAGGCAGGGGATGGTTAGTGTCTGCAGGCTTGGTGGGACAAGTCCTGGAGGAGAGGCTTGGATGACCACCAACAGACCCAGCGCAGAAGGCCCTGGAGCCTCAGCCACGCCCTTCCTTTGGTCTGGGACTGGGGCAGCTGCTCCCACCGTGGAGGATGAGGCCCGGAAGGTCTCGATTCCTGAGTGGACCTTTGTTTGCAGTGGGGGACTGTCTGGTGTTTGGATTCTGAGTGATGCTGGGGACAGAAGCTACGTCTTCACCTCAGACGGCAAAGAAGAGGGTCACATTAAGTAAGCCTGTGCTTATTAGGGCTCTACTTCCTAGCTGTTTGGTCTGACTCCAGAGTTTTGTTGGAAAATAAATGCAGGGGGCTGCAGAGATGGCTCAGTGGTTAGGAGCACTGGCTGCTCTTCCAGAGGGCCCGAGTTCAATTCCCAGCATCCACATGGCAGCTCACAACTGTCTGTAACTCCAGTTCCAGGGGATCTAGCATCCTCACAGACAGACATGCAGGCAGAACACCAATGTACATAAAATAAAAATAAATAAATTGTTACACAAAGAAACCCTGTGTCCAAAAAAAAAAAAAAGAAAGAAAGAAAGAAAGAAAAAGAAAAAAAGAAAGAAAGAAAAGAAAAAGAAAATTGAGTGTTTTGATCCCAGGACTGGGGAGGCAGAGGCAGGCATATCTCTGAGTTCGAGGCCAGCCTGGTATAGAGTTTCAGGACAGCCAGAGCTACGCAGAGAAATCTGTCTCAAAACAAACCAAAGAAACAAAAACAAGAAGGGGGGGGGGAGAGAGAGGAGAGACAGGGGTTCTTGCCTGGGTTCACTTCACCCTCACTTTCACCAAGGACAGTTAGAAACATTGACTCTTTTTTTCAAATGTTGACTGAGACCAGACCTCCCAGCCCTGGGTAGCTGGAAACTCTATCTCAGAGAGATCCGCCTGCCCCTGCCTTCAGTATATGCCACCATGCTTGGCCTAGGAGCATGGATGGACCCTGACCTCATGTACCTGGGTTCAAGTCCCACCATGAGGAGCTTTGTGCTTGTGGGTAAGTAATTGGTCTCTTTGGGCTTTGGTGGCCGAGTGTCAGTGTCCTGGGTAAGAACAGCACCGATGGCTGGGGACTGCTAAGGAATGAATGGATTAGTGGCTGTGGTGTCACCTGGTGACACCTGGAACACAGCAGGCACATATAAGTTTTGTTTTTGAAGCAAAGTTGGAGTTTATTAAGAGAAAAAAAAGGTTACTATTTTTAAAATGAACGCTTTGCTCTTCGTTTGTTTTTGCTTTTTGAGACAGGGTTTCTCGTAGCCCTGGCCATCCTGGACCTCACTCTGTAGACCTGGCTGGCCTGCAAACTCAGAAATTCGCCTGCCTCTGCATTCTGAGGGCTGGGATTAAAGATACCTCTGCTCAGACCCACGGCCGGGCACCAGGCTGAGCTCTGGGAATCCAATCGATGAGAGAGGAGGGATTCTGTGGGCAGGGGACATTGAGATCATGATGGGAAAACATGCAGAGATGACCAGCCACACTAGTGGAAACCCAAGACCTGTAGACTAATATCTATGGAGCCTACATAGGACCAGACTAGGCCCTCTGGATACGGGAGACAGTTGTTTAGCTTGAACTGTTTGGGGGGGCCCCCAGGCAGGAGGATCAGGATCCTGGTGCATGGGTGGGCTTTTTGGAGTCCAGTGCCTAGGGTGTGACACCCTGCACAGCCTTGGTGCAAGGGGGAGGGGCTTGGACCTGTTTCAGCTGAGTGTGCCAGGCTCTGCTGGCTCCCCACAGGAGACCTTGACTTGGAAAATGTGGGGATGGGGGCTGATTGGGGAGGGGGGGCTGCATCCTGGGATCAGCTGAGCTGGCTGAACCAGCCCTGTTGACTGGAAGCAGACAGCTGGGACAGTGCCCCCCAACACCTGCTGAGTACCTGGGTCCCACAGATGATGCTCCTACAGCTGGACAGTGCCCCCCAACACCTGCTGCGTACCTGGGTCCCACAGATGATGCTCCCACAGTTGGGGCCAGTGCCCCCCAACACCTGTTGTGTACCTGGGTCCCACAGATGAAGCGCGTTGAACTGAGGCCAGCTCCAAACTCTTCCAGAGCCTGCACACCTGCCTGGATCACCTCAGGGTGGCTGCTCAGGCCCAGGTAGTTATTGGCACAGAAGTTGAGGATTTCTGAGGTGGAGAAGACCAACGACATGGTTCAGAAAAGCAAGGAAGGGCCTGCAAGGACCATGGTGTCAGGCCCCGTGACGGGGACCGGAGGAAGTCAGCTTGGGTTTGCCCTTGAGCGGCAAACAGCTGCACAGATGATGCCGTCTGGGGAGAGGCCAGGGGCTTCGAATCCACTGCCACAGTGCAAGAGGGTTAGGAGAGGTTTGTCCCTCTCTGCCTTGAAGGGTGAGAAGTTTAAACCTGGCTATGAATAACATCCCATCTGAGAGGACCCCAGACCTTCCTCATGGGTTCTGAGGCCCAAACCATCGCCATCTGGGTTTTACTTTTCTTGATTGTGAAGAGGCCTAGCTCCTTCCAGAGGGGTGTCTCAGAGACCTCAGTTACCAGTCTCAAAAAAGTTACTATAGTTGGCCCAAGGAAACTGAGGCCTGAGGAAGGGATGGCTCATGACCTGGGACCAACACCAAGAGTCTGAAGAACTTGGTTCTCTAAATATCCCATCGTGTGTGTGTGTGTGTGTGTGTGTGTGTGTGTGTGTGTGTGCTGGGAATTGAATTCACAGCCTAAGGTGTGCTGGGCAAGCACTCTGCCACTGAGTCACGCCCTGAGCCTATTGATTAGATCTCTCGGAAATCACTTGGGGAGAGAGAGCAGTTTGGTCTGGCGGCAGGTTTTGTTAGGAGACAGGAAGTTCGTCCTCCGGTCTTCTTTAGAAGACCTGCAGGGACACAGGTGCTTCTGCAGACCTAATCCCCTTGTTTGTTTAAACTTTAGCCTCTCTGGTGGAAGCTGGTCTTCTACCTCACACCCTGTCACCCTGTAGCACTGGAGCTGGCCAGTGGGGGGTCTGGGGACATCTAGTTCCATTTCAGCTTCTTCCGGTCCCCCCCCCCTTTTTTTTTTTTTTTTTTTTTTTTTTTGGTTTTCTGAGACAGGGTTTCTCTGTGTAGCCCTGGATGTCCTGGAGCCCTAGGTCTGTAGACCAGGCTGGCCTTGAACTCACAGAGATCCACCTGCCTTTGCCTCCTGAGTGCTGGGATTAAAGGCATGCTTCCTTTCAATGAGAGTTGGTCTCTCTAGCCTGGTGGTGGTGGCACATGCCTTTAATCCCAGCACTTGGGAGACGGAGGCAGACAGAACTCTGAGTTCCAGGACAGCCTGGTCTACAGAATGAGTTCCAGGACAGCCAGGGCTACACAAGTGAAACCCTGTCTCGGGGAGTGGGGGGATGGGAAGTGGGGGTGGGTGGGTGGGAACCTGGTGGCATATGCCTTCAATCCCAGTACTGGGGAGGAAAAGGCCAGCCTTGTCTACAGAGCGGATCCCAGGACAGCCAAGGCTCTACAGAGAAACCCTGTTCGAAAATCCAAGAAAGAAAGAAAAAAAAGAATTGGTCTGTCTTGCAGATGTCATAAGGAATAAAGGTATAGCAACTGGTAACTTTTACAGACTGGGCTCAGTGGATGAATGAGGGTTTTCGTCCACTCTTTCTGGAAGCAGGGCGTAGGAGCCAGTGCAGCTGGATACCGCTCTCTTTTTCTCACAGGGTTGGGTCTCCTTGCCCCACAACCCTCGGGGCCCAAAAGGTGCTGACGGGTAAATCACCTCCCTCCGTCGAAACAGGTTTAAACAGGTAGAGTTAACACGAGGAAGCCATTGTGTGCTCAAGATAGCTGCTGGAAGGAGACCAGCATCTACCCACGAATGTATCTCCCCCACACCCACCCTAGGGCCTCCGTTCACACGCAAGCCCAGGAAGGGCTCTTGGCCACCTGGCCAGATACACCGACTCGCAGGAGGGGAAGTTACCTCCGGAGATACCGTCCACGCGGATGCACGGTCCCTGGCGGGACGTGATCACCCGCTCACTCTTCCAGGTGCCAGCCCCACGGATCCCTTCCAGCTCGCCCTCCACGATGCCGCGCAGCTGCGCCAGCGCTGAGTGCGCGCGGCGGCCGGGTGACAGCGTCGCGCGCCACACGCTGCTGACCCACATCGCGCCCACCGGGTGAAGTGCGCCTGCCAGCCGGCTGCCTCGCGCTCCCTGTCACGTGGCGTGGGCAGGGCCCCGGCGGCCAATCAGAGCAACAGGAGCTCACTTTAAGGGGGTGCCGAGGCCGTCCCGCCCGCAGGCGGGGCCTGACGCGGTCGGCAGGCGACAAAAGTGGATCGATTTGTAAGACGAGACCCGGGAGGTCCGCGCGGGGGAAGCGGCTTCAGGGCCTTCCCTGCCCAGGCCCTGATCCTGCCTCTACACCCACCTCTCCCGAGGACCCGCCACTGGGTGGAGCCGACCCGCATCCTGCCCTTCCAGCCTGAGGGTTCCCGGCTCTCTCCAAAGCTTCGCTTTTTTCCGGCGCTAACGTGGCCCTTCCGATTGCTCCTCTCCTCCAGTTGAGGAAAAACGCACCCGATTTTTTTTTTCCTTTTCCAGTTTTATTATTTTAAAGTTTAAAATTACAACCACAGCAAATTTTTCCCGGCACGGATAACACTTGTTTAAAAAGGGGGAGGGGCGCGAGTGCGCGAGTTTCCTATTTTATTAAAATAAGAGAAAGACAAACTGTACAGGTTTTTTCTCCCAGCTCCCGAAGTGAGACTAACACTAGTCTTAGATACGGATATATACATATACACACATGCACACGATCCTGGCTCTCTAAAGCTACCTAGCAAATTCAAATCAATTGTACTATGTTTTACAGTCCACTCCCTGCCTTTCCCCCTCCTCGGCTACTTAGAAAAGATTCAAAAAGTAAAAGAGGTTGGAGGGTTTTTAAGTGGCAGCTGGTAGAACTGAAGCGGCACCAAGCAAAGCGACATCTTATACAGGAAGGAAAAGAAAGGGGGCGGGGGGGGGAGAGAACAAAGTCCTCCTAGGACACACTCCATCCATCGCGTGGAAAAAACCCAAGTTTCCATAGGCACACTGAGGCACTTGGCTGACTCCCCGGCCCTCCCCCAAGTCCACTCCCATTTAACAAGAGACTGCAGAAAGGACCCCTCCTTCCCCAATGGCTAGATCCTGACGGTGAGAAGCTGGACCCCTTTCCCCTTCCAGACAATGGGGAGGCATCGGGCAGAGATGAAGAGGAATCCCAGGTCCCCAACTGCTCACCACTGGTGACGGCAGCCCAGGGAGTCCTTCCTCCCTCCCTGGCCAGCTAGGTCGGCTGTCACCCTCTGCTCCCCACCAAAGGTTTTGAAGCTCTCACAGGGGGGTGAACGAGCAACTTAAGAAAGCCTTAAAAAGACAAATTTTAGTTCCTGGGTCCCCTCCTCTAGCCAGAACTTCGCCAGGTCCATTTGCCTTCACAGTAAACAAACCACCCAAGGAAACACGCCGCCCCCCCCATCCCTAACCCCGTAAGAAGGTTCATAATATCAAATCAAGAAACGAGTACATCTTCAGGACAAAGATGAGGTCTCTGCCTGTCCTCGCACAGTGGGCTAAGGAAAAGGGAATCATTCCACGAGGTCTGTCCGAGGAATCCCAACTCTGGCCTTCTTGTAAAAAGTCAGATTACAACGGGCAGGGGGTTGCAGGTGAGACCAAGAGAGAAAGGTATTTACAGAACACAGGAGGGAGGGAGGAGTGTCCACAAGCAGAGTCTTCTTCGCCCGTCACTTCTTCTTGCTGGCCCTCTTGGCGCTGGACTTGGCTTTGGGCTTCACGGGTTTGGCCTTCTTGGGTTTGGATGTCTTGACGGGCTTGGCTTTGACCACCTTGGGCTTTTTGGCTTTCTTGGGCGTGGCAGCCGGCTTCTTCTTGGCCTTCTTGACAGGGGTGGCTTTGGGCTTCTTGCTGGGGGCTTTGGCGGCTGCCTTCTTGGGCTTGGCTGCCTTCTTTGGAGCGGCCACTTTCTTGACTTCCTTCTTGGCCTTCTTGAAAGCCACCGACCTCTTGGGCTCATCGCCCTTGGCCAGCCTGAAGGACCCCGAGGCACCCACCCCTTTGGTTTGCTTGAGGACGCCGGTGGTCACCAGGCGCCGGATGGACATCTTGATCTGGGAGTCGGCGTTCTCACCCACCTTGTAGTGGCTCTTGATGTACTTTTGGATGGACTGGCGCGAGGAGCCGGCGCGGTTCTTCTCCGCCTGGATGGCAGCCACGATCATGTCCGAATACTTGGGGTGGTCCGTGGACTTCTTGGAGGCCTTGGCCCGCTTGGGCTTCGCCGCGGGGGCGGCCGTGGAGTTCTCGGTCATGGTGGCCGGCCTGCTCCTGCCGGGGACGGAGCCTTCGGAAGGGAGAAGGGCCAGCCCTCGCCGGAGGCTGGGCGCACAACCGGACTCGGGATCGGCTCTCCGGCTCGAGATCGGCAGGCCGGGCCGAAGTGCGGCTGCGGGGCTCCGGTCCTCCCCGGCGCGGGGCGCGGGGCTCGGGTCCTCCCCGGCGCGGCTCGCGGGCTGCCCTGCGCGGCCCAGCCCCCACGGCTCGGTCTCCGGTCCGGCGCCTGGCGCTGCCTCCTCCGCCTCCGCCTCCCCGGCCTCCCTTTTCCCTGCTCTGCGTCTGGCGCTCGGGCGGCGCATCCGGGTATTTAGCGGCGGCGGGCGGACCGCGGTGAGGACTGGGCTGCTGGCTGCCTGCTCCCGGCCCGGAATGGCGCCGCGCCGCCGCCATCTGTGTTTCTTCCGCCGAGCAAACCCGACCTTTGCCGGCGGCCCGGGGCCTCCCGCCGCCCGCTGTCTCTCGGGGTCCCTGCCCGGCTCCCTAGGCTTCCCCGCTGGGGAACCCAGCGCCCCGGCCGCCGTCCCTCGCGCCCGCCACGAGCCCCAAACTGCGTCGAGGAGCACTGGGGCGCCGGCACATTTCCCCTTTGCGGGGGGCTGGCGCTGCGGGGCCCGGGAGCCCCGGGGCTTGAGACCCCTCGTTGGAAAGCTCCCCCCTGGGACTACCAGGGCTCCCACTCCCGGCCGGCTGCGGGGTCCCCCAACCTGGCGGAGCGGCTCAGAAGCGGCCCCAACTAACACACGCGGCCCCGAGCCGGGCGACTCCCAGCCGGGCCGCGTCGGGACAAGGGGGGAGGGGTCGTCTCCCCGGGGTCCGATCACCTCTTGGGGGTCACCCGGCCGCAGGCCCCCCAGCACCCCTAACCCCTTCCTGCCCCCGGGGCCCTCAGGGAAACTTTCCCTGGAAGAGTTGGAAGGGCACTTTCAAACTTGGTCCCTTCCCCCTCTTGAGGCGCCTCTCCCCTCGACGCTCTGCACGGAGCCCCCAGATCCCTGCATGGAGATTCCTGCCTGAGCCCGAGCCCCCCCCAAAATATCCTGGGACCCCCCTGGGACATGGGAACTGGCTTCCTGGGTGGCCTGCTCTCCCCAAAGACACCCCCACGCCTCCCATATATCCGAACCTAAGAGTTCATGTATATGCCTTTCTAGCTTGGGAGTTTTGGGGGTGTGCAAAGCAGGACCCCGAGGGCCACCCTGGGGGTGAAGCTCCCCTCTCCCGCTGGCCTCTTGAAAGTGGGGTGTGCCTGGTGGGGAGGGTTCAGTACCCATCATTGGTGCTGTCCCACAGGCAGAGACCGTCCTGGGGACCCCTGGGATGAGCAGAGGCTCTGTGTGCTCTAGAGATTTAGAAAGTTGGGGCGAGGAGGGAGCCCTGGTTTCTCTGGTCGTGACTTAGGTTCAGGAGGTATGCATGCAGTCGAGCAGGGAGCCGGGGTCCCCACCACCGCCATTTTGCTGGGAAGATGCCATGCCTTTGTTATAAAAGGTATCCATCTTTTCCCGCCCTGCTTGGCACAAATCCACGAAGTGAGCAAGGGGCGCCACCAGTCTGTAGTGCAACCTGGGGCTGTTGGGAGTCCTAGGGTCCGAGTTAGAGGCTCAGAGATCGAGAGCCCGGGACCTCTGTCTGCAGCCTACCTCCTATTCAAAATGCCAGGTCCTCTTGGCATCAGCTCTACAGTAGGTTCTGGTGGTCTCGCCTGCCTACCTGGGCTCGCCCCCGGATCCCCGTGGTTTTATTAGCCAAAAGGCATGTAGCTGTTTGATTAAATAGTGACCTGGGAGTGGGTGATGGTAGCTGATGAAGATGAAGGAACCTCTGCTAAGGCCTGGGGCTGTTTGTCACGCAGGAAGGAGGCTAAGCTGATGGAGCTTTGAACGTGGGGGAAGTGTGGGGTGAGCTATGGGGCTTGGGAGTCCCAGAGACGAGGGCGAATTAGTGATCCTCCCCCCACCTCAACACCATAGCTTAACCCAAATGATTGGAGGACGGGAGGGGAGGGGAGGAACCTGTGCCTTCCCCGCAGACCAGGCCTTTCTAGGTGAAGGCCAGGTTAGATCAAAAGGTCGTCTTTAATTCTGATGGTGTCAGTGACCCTGAGGTTTCCTAATTTGAAAACATATTCTGCTAGGTTTGTTTGGGTTATAATCGATCCTCTGGGTTTCCACTAAGATCTTTACCCAAATGCACTTACCTCTGAGCTACTGTACCAAATACAATACTGTACCAATACAAACCAAATGGGTCGGATGACCCGGTGTTGAAGTGTTTATTCTCATAGCCTGTTACAGTTGCAAGGTGCTCCCCACCAGTTCCTTGGTCCTTCCTAGGAGGGTGACCCATACCCACATTTACCTGGAGGCCTTGGAGTTTGGAAGGAGAGGCAAGAGGCACTACTGTGTTGTGAAGCTCAGCTTCCACAGACCCCAGACCTTCATTTAGTCCTGCAGTTCTAGCGTCTTAACCTCCACTCCCATCCCAGAACACTGGGACCGGGTGGGGGCACCTCCCGCTGAGACACGAGATTAACAGCTCCACCCCGCCATCGTTCTGGGGAGTTAAGGGAACAAAGAGAATTTTCTGGGAGATGCCGAGGGGGGGGGGTCACGATGAGAGAGGGGCTGCCCCCAGGCTGGCATTGCCTAGCCTCAACTCCGGGACACTGCATGACCAGGATGCCGAGTGCCTCCCGCCAGGCCCACACAGTCTCCTCCCAGGTGGCTCTCCGGTGCGGGCTTCTGTCCGGCAGACATTCCTACCCGCTTCCCCACCCCACCCCCACCCCCTCACCCCCTACGCCTAACGGCGCTGGATTTAGCAGGAGGCCCTTTAAAAACCCCAGAGCTGCGGCGCTGTGGGCAACCTTCCTGGGAAATGTAGTCTCTGTGTGCAGTCTGCCTGCTACCCAGGCAGCTTCTCCGCGGGCCAGAAAAAGGGGGGCTCTGCTGCCTCTGGGGTTAGTGTGGCAGAGAAATGAAACCCTGAGTGGGAAATCCTGTCCATCGAGGTAGAGTGGGAATCACGTTCTTTTTTTGGGGGGTGGGGGTGGGGTTAGTGAGACTGTAACATCTACAAGTTACACACAGGAGCCCTGAAAGGCTTGGCGATTCTACATGGGTGGTGGGCTGTCCGGGCACGGTCCTTTCCTTCCGCCTTCCGGTAAGACCCCCCGGCTCATCCTGAGCTCAAGATTCCTAATGTGCTGAGCACGTGCCGGGCCCTGGGAATAAAGCCATGAGCAGAAAAGACAAGCCTGCCTGTGTGGGGCTGAAATGGTAGTGGAAAACAGCACCAGGAAGAAAATGAACAGTTACGATTAAATCCCTGGTGGGCATAGTGGTGTCCGCCTGTAATCCTGGCACAGGGGAGACTGAGGCAGAGGATTGTGGAGAGACTGAGGTCAGCCTGGGCTACATAGATCCTGTTCCCCACCACCACCACCAAAAAAGAAAATGTTATACATGTTGGGAATTGATGATTATGGACAAGTTGAGGTTCTCAGCGACCTGGCCTGGCATTCGCCACCAGTGCCCAGCAAGTGTGATTTTTTTTTTTTTAAAGCAGCCAACATCTAGGCAAATATTTGAAGGAGGCAAGGAAAGAAGCTGTTCCTGTTACAAGAGGAGGAGTCTTCCCTTCAGAAGAAACAGCTGGCACCAAGGACGGGTGGCCGCGATGTGCAGAGTGGCTGAAACAAGGACGTGAGTGAGTTTAAAGGACGCCAGGAGGGGCTGAGGAAGGAGGAACACCTAGTGTAGGGGTTTTGTGTGCGCAGCTAGGGACTTCGGTTTTCACCCGGTGAAGTGGGAGCCGCCGCAGAGAGGTGAGAGGCAGGACAGGGCGGCAGGCATCCAGGTGGACGGAGGGAGTGGACAGCAGCAGGGTTGGGGGCTGTAAGAAGGTGGAAGTTGACACAAGATACCATCAAAGAGACCCAGGAAGGGCCAAGATGAGCAGGAGGAACATGGGCGGTGTTGGGGGTGGGCCGGGGGGGGGGGGAGGCAATGAGAAAGGAGAGTGTCACAGAGGAAAAGAGGCCAGTCATATCAGATACCACCAACCAGGGTAGCGAGGACATAGTCCACCCTGTTGGGTGGCTGCTGCCCTCCAGGAGATGGAAGTTGTGGCCAAGGGTCCCCAGAGTCTCGGAACCTCTGTGGGGTCAAAGTTCAGTCTCTGGCATCCACCTATCTGTCCTTCCTAGATAAGAAGCAGGGCCTTGGTGAGGGTAATGTAGGGACAGGAGGGCCTGAGGAAAAGACAGCTCAGAGGAAGAAGAGACCTGGGCTTTGAGGACCAGAGTGAGGCTTACGTAGAACCACGGGGCCGCTCTACCTCGAGGGGACAGCTTGGGCAGAGCCTGGTGGTGGGAAAGTGGGGGACTGTGGGAAGCAGGGGCCCTGAAAAGGCAGGAGACCCAGCAGAAGAGGGAACAGGATACAAGGAGAGGAGTGTGGGTGCCATGGTGGCGGTGTTTGGTTGGGATCTCTGGCTGCTGTGAGGGACAGAGCTGCCGCAATGTCCCGGCAAGCAGGGGGGGGGGGGGGAGAGGAGTCATGTCAGAGGCCAAAGTGGTAAGTTTGTGAGGGGAGGGAGGGAAGCCTGGCAGGTTCCCAGGGGTTACACGGTATCAGGATGTGGACTGTGGGGGAGGGGCGTCTGGAGCGCTCCTAAAGGAGGGATCCCCTTAGACCCCAAGGCAAGTCTCCTCAGGAAGCCTGGAGTGGCTAAAACTGCAAAGGTCTGCAACAAAGTGAGCCCTCCCCAGAAGTGTGGACCCAGCAAGGACACCAGGGGACACAGCTCCAATCTCAGGAGAGGATAAAGCAGAGGAGTCCATCCGGAAGGACGGGATTGCCCCTTGCCGCCTAGCCTGGACCCCCTCGTTGGAAAAGCCCACCCTCAGCCTGGCCCGTCCAGTCCAGCACTTCATCTAGCCTCTCTCTGCCTTGCGGTGGGTGTCTTCACCGGTTCTCACTGGGGTTGGTTTTGCATCCCCAAGGAGTACTTGACAGTGCTTGAAACAGAGGCGAAGTAATTGCCCCCAAACCACACAGCTGCACTCCCAGGCCAGGCTGGCCGGACAGCGAACCGTTCATCTGTCTTGTCATCCCCCCCAGGTATTATGCTCTGGTGGGTATTGCTATTGTGGCTCTGTGACAGTGCTCAGAACGCACAGAACAGGACCACGGGAGGGCATGACAGATGCCAGGGAAGGCCCTGTCCCTGGTTTGAGAACGTGAAAAGAGAATGTGGGTCGAAAGGTGAGCTGGCCGGGGCATATGGGGCTGGCTTTAAGTCATGGTAAATGACTTAGAATTTGTTCACAGTGCACTGAGAACATGGTGCAGGGAGAATTTAAAAGAGTCGATAAGCTTCATAAAATAATACAATTATTTTGAGGTAAAAATGTTAAAGTATGACATACAAAATTATCACATACACTGTCCACAGACAAAGTAGATCACATTTGTACAATTCTTAAACTAACATGAAGCCAGACAGCCGAGTCCTGTCTGTAGTTAAAATAAGAAACATGCCGGTGGGGGAGAGAATACACAGCAAGCCCAGGACAGCAAGGCTACATAGAGAGACTATGTTTCAATTGCCGCTCCCCCCCCCCACTCCTCGCCCCCATGCAAGCCCAAGGACCTGAGTTCAAGCCCTAGAACCCACTGTGGGAGGAGAGAACCAATTCCAAAAAGTTGCTTTCTAAAAGCGGTCCCCTGACATCCGCACACACATACCTCAGCACGAACACCTCCCTATGGGTATATTACACACAATAATGAAAAAAGAAACATGGCAGGTCTCCCCCACAGGCCCCTGCCTGTGCTCACCACCAGGGATATAAATAGCTTTTTGGTTTTTCCTTCTGGCTTAACCACATCCCACGAGCTAATCCTATGCAATAATTACTTTTTCTTCTTTACTTTGGGGCCAAACAAAAACAATCTGACCATTTGTTTTTCGATTTGTTTTGTTTTTTTGAGACTGGGACTTGTTTTGGGGGACAAGGTTTCTCTGTGTAGCCCTAGCTGTCCTGGAACCCTCTCTGTAGTCCAGTCTGGCCTCGAACTCACAGAGATCTGCCTGCCTCTGCCTCCCAAGTGCTGGGATTCAAGGTGTGCACCACCACCCCCAGGTGAGACTGGGACTGATGCTTGAAACTCAGATTGGCCCTGAGTTTTCAATGTAGCCTAAAATGACCTTGGCCTTCTGACCTTCAAGCTTCCGCATCCTGGGATTACAGGTCTGCACCATCACACCTGCTTCACGCAATGCTAGGGCTTGACCTCAGGACTTCATGCACACTAGGCAAGCACAAAGCCCTCTTTTTATGATGAATTTCTTAGTGGGGCTTCTTTTAGTCAATGTTATTGTTCTTACCATTAATGTTCTTTTTCATTTGTTTGTTTGTTGGTTGGTTTTTTGAGTCAGGGTTTCTCTGTGTAATAGCTCTGACTATCCTGGAACTGGCTTTGTAGACCAGGTTGCCCTTGAACTCACAGAGATCCACATGCTTCTGCCTGGGATCCAAGGTATATACCACCAAGCCCAGCTCATTAATGTTCTCTTGTGTCTTTGTTGAACTGGAATTAGAGGCTGTTGTGAGCCTCCCTGGGAGGCCAGAAACTAAACTGGGGTTCTTCTCAAGAGCAGTGAGTGGGCTCTCTCTCCCCCTCAAATCAAGAGAGAAGAGAGTGGAAAAGAGATAAAGAAAGAGAAACAGGGGCTCAGGAGGTGACGTCAAGCTCTTACATCCAAGCATGAGGATCTGAGTTCGAATCCCCCAAACCCACGTAAAGCTACATGAAATAGTGTGTCTGTAACCCCAGCGCATCTATGATGAGATTGGAAACAGACAGGAGAACCCTCAGACATTCCTGGGCCGGCCAGCCGGGCATAGGAAGTGATGAGGTGATGAGCAGCCAGAGACTCTGACTCAAACGAGATAGAAGGTGAGAACCAACGCCCATAAGTGTCTAACCTTACACACTCCTATTCACACACACACACACACACACACACACACACACACACACACACACACAAAACAAAACAAAACAGAGAGAGAATGGACCCCTGAGGTGGGCTCAGCAGGTAAAGATCCTTGCCTGAGGACCAGAGTTCAAGCCCTGGACTCCACATGGATGACAACGACGACAATGACTACCACAGGCTTTCCTCAGACTGTCTCACATCAGACTATGGACCATGTGCTCCCCCCGCTACACACACAATAAATAAATAAATAAATAAATAAATGAAAATTTTTGTTCTGTTTTTTGAGACAGGGTTTCTCTGTGTAACTGTCCTAGCTGTCCTGGAACTCGATTTGTAGACCAGGCTGGCTTTGAACTCACAGAAATTCACCGGCCTTTGCCTCCCAAGTGCTGTGCCAACCCCCCCCCCAAAAAAAAATAAATAAAATTTTTAAAAAGAAAGAAGCTGAAACATACAATAAACACCACAAAATACAGACTAGTCACGCTCTCATTCACTAACCGCCATGCCAGGGTCCTTTGGACCTTGCAAGGGAGGTCTCCTGAGGCTTCAGTCTGGACAATCTCCCAGTGACTCAGATCCAGAATGTGCTGTAACTACTCCAGGAAGAGCCCTCCATTTATGTTCATGCTGCTGATGGTGGAATGGACCCCCCACATGTCCTGTACCTGTCTTTTTCTTTGGGGGAGGCAAAGTTAAAGATGGAAGCAAGTCCCTTAACGCTGTCACCCAGGTAGGTTCCGTGTCCCCCCAAGGATCCTCAAACAGGAGAGCAGAGAGGTTTATCTCAAGAGAGACCTTCCACCTGAGTGGGAATAGGAGGCAGGCAGCTGGGGGAGCTGGACAAGGTGACAGAAACAGAAAGTCTCCACTGGAGCCTCTAGAAGGGACAGGTCCCAGCCGGCCCGGTCATCTTAGACCATTTCAGATTCCGACATCCAGACAGATCGAGCGATGCATTTGTGTATGTGTATGTGAGATTAAGACGGGGGTCCAATGAGAAGGAAAAGAAACAAAAAAAAGCTGGGCGTGGTGGCGCAGGCCTTTGATCCCAGCACTCCAGAGGCAGCAGGTGGATCTCAAACAATCAAACAATCAAACCAACAACAAAGAAGACAAGTGGTATGTACTCCAAGCTGGCCTCAAAATTGCTGTGTAGCCACATATGACCTTTCGTTTCTGTGGTGTTCCAGAGTGAGGCAGCTTCCAGGCTTATTTGGGAGGACAAATCCACACTCAGGCTGGCTGGGGGTGGAGAGGGAGGAATGGGGAGGACTCCCTGCTTTCAGGAGCAGGAGATGGGATGACTGGAGGGGAGTCTGCCTCCAGAGCCTTCTTTTGGCAAGCGTTCCGTTTCGGAGCCCACTGGGGTGGTGGAATTCCTGGACCCCTCTCAGCTTTCAGCCTCACTCCGGGGAAGCTAATTCTTCACCCACTTCTCCTCAGTTAGGACGTCAGTTGTCATCCCATGTGGGTTAAGAGTCAACGGACAGAAAGACAGAAAGACAGACAGACACTCTCGAAGTCATGACAGTGCCAGCGACAGTTCCGTGGTTCCATTTCAACTGATCTAATCGGACCAGGCCAGAACTCATTTCCTCGGTTCACCTTGGAAAGCATCCCCGAGGCCAAGGCTGAGGTCCTGACCCGTCAGGGTCATCCTTCCATCTTGCACACCTTCCTTTTGAGGATCCAGGCTCTGCCCAGGAAGGAAAGGAGGTTGCCATGCAGATGAAAACACAGCCTCAGGCGCAGGCGGAGACGCCTCATTTTATACAATAGTGATAGTTCACGGACTGAGGTAAGCAGGCCCATGCTGACACCAGCTCTCAGAACTGCCCCCCCCCCCCCGTAACTGGGAAGGAGGGGGACACATTTGCAGATGACTAGGGAGCCCCACTAGGAAAGAGCTCCAGGCACCTTGTCCTGTTAAGGGTCCATGGGATTAGCTGTCCTCTGGTCCATCAGGATAGTCCTGTCCCAGGTCAGCTGGCAGAGAGGACACCCAGACTTCAAAGGAGATGCCTCACTCTGTGGGCAAGGTGTGGACTGGTGACCTATATACTGAAAGCCTGAGGCCAGGCACGGGGCCGTGATGCAGATGATGCATGTGTTCTGGGCTAGGAGCCACACTGGACCCACAAGCTGCATCTATCCCATTCCAGGGGCCCAGGCTGAGCGCAGGTAGGAAGTGGGAAGGTTATGACCATGGGGCCTACAAGAGGCCCCTGGCCCTTGTGAAGTAAGTAGCCCTGCCTGCTTTCCACTTGGCAGAATTCCCAGACTATTCTGTAAGAGGCCTCAAGAGGGAGATGCTGGGCTTTTAACTAATTAATGCAGGAGAACCCTGGAGGGATGGGGAGGCCTGGAGCAGGAGTACCATGAGTTCCAGGCCAGCATGAGAAGTATGAGACCCCCATCTCAAACAAACAAACAAACACTCCACCAACCTCAATGCTGTGGCCACATTGCACGATACTTTGAAACCATAAGGGTATGGACACTCTGTGATATTAGTGATATTTCTTGAGAAATGAGATTGGCTCATAACTGGCTTTTATTTTTCACTTTTTACACTCATATATTGTAATTATCTATAAAGAGCCAGCATGCCGGGTGTGGCAGCCCACGCTTTTAATCCCAGCACTCTGGAGGCAGAGGCAGGCAGATCTCTGTGAGTTCGAGGCCAGCCTTGTCTACAAAGTGAGTTCCAGGACAGCCAGGGCTGTTACACAGAGAAACCCTGTCTTAAAAAAAAAAAAAAAAGAAAGAAAAGAAAAGAAAAAAGAAGAAAAGAAAAGAAAAAAGAAAGAAAAGAAAAAAAAGAGTCAGCATGTATTATTTTTCCCCTTTATTGTATATTTTAATTTATTCTTTGACAATTCCATACGTGTATCTGTCTCCTGTGTGTGATCCATTGAACTGAATCGGGGTGGCTGACATGCACTTGAGTCGGATTATTTTGGAGCATAGGGCAATTTATCAGTGACTACACCATTGAAGAAAAATGACGTCCCCTTCCCAGTGGCTATTCATTACCAAGAGCTCCTCAGCGACGGGCAGGCTCTCATGAACCCCTCCCCTATCCACAAGGGAAGGTGATAGCCTCCATCTCGTGCAGGTTCTGTTACCATACCCACAGCTGTTGTGAGGTCATGAGTGCTATGATCGTGCCACATCCAGAGGACGGTGCCTCGCAGCACTTCCTCTCCTGGGCTACTTTTGAAAGAAAGAGAGAAAAGAATAAAGGTTGGTGAGGTGAATCAGTGGAAGAGTATTTGCCTAGCATAGGCAAGTTTCTGGGTCCCATCCTAAGCCATTGCTGCCACACCACACACACACACACACAGACACACACACACAGACACACAGACACACACAGACACACACACACAGACACACAGACACACACACACACACCCCAAAAAGAAAAACCTTAGCATGAATGTGATAGAAAAAATAATAGCCCTGGAATAAGTATGATGAGCGACAGCTGTCTTTAACATGTCAAAGACTGAAACAAGGGGCTGGAGAGATGGCTCAGAGGTTAAGAGCACTGGCTGCTCTTTCAGAGGTCCTGAGTTCAATTCCCAGCAACCGCATGGTGGCTCACAACCACCTGTAATGAGATCTGATTCCCTCTTCTGGTGTACAGGCAAACTTACAGAAAGAACACTGTTTATATAATAAATCAAATAAATCTTAAAAAAAAAAAAAGACTGAAACAAATCCCTAAACAAAAAATATTATTGGCTGGAGAGATGGTTCTGCAGTAGGGCCATGTTCCACTACCATGAAGATTGGGGTTTAGACCCCAGCACCCATGTAACAAGCCGAGGATCACCACAAACACTTGTAACCTCAGCCCTGACATAGGTGGAGACAGGAAAATGGCCGGGGCTCGCTGGCTTCCAACCAGGCAGAGAAAATGCAAGCTTCATGGTTCAGGGAGAGAGACTGTGCCTCAAAGGAACAGGTGGAGAGAGAGAGAGGAGAACACCGGAGGGTCTCTTCTGGTCTCTGTGCTCATGAACAAGTGTGCACCCCTGCAAAAAGGTATCAGTTTAAAAAAAAGAAAAATGTTATCGCCTCAGTCCAGATTGTGATAAACACCATGACCAAAAACTGACTTGGGGAGGAAAGGGTTTATTTCCTTACAGCCTGCTTCTGTGGGAACTAAGGCAGGAACTCAAGGCAGAAGCAGAGGCCATTAAGGAATGCTGCTTGCTGGCCTGCTTCCCCCGTCCTGCTCAGCCGGTTTTCTTATATAACCCAGGACCACCTGCCCAGGGGTGGCACTGCCCCCGACATCAATCATTAATCAAGGAAATGCCCCCACAGACATGCCCTACGAGCCCACAGGCCAAGCAGATGGAAGCATTTTTCTCAGTGGAGGTTCCCTCTTCCCAGGTGACTGGTTTGTGTGAAGCTGACTGGAACCCACAGCGAAGTAGGAAAACACACATCAGCAGCTCCGTCATAGCCTGGTTGGCAGCGGCCGCCAGTGGTGGCGTGTTTAATCTCAGGAAGCAGAGAAACTGTGCTTCCAATGGCAGCTACGCTTTCTCCCCCTCGGAACCAACTCCTCTCTCTCTCCTTCCACCCTGTCCACTTTCTGCTAACCTATGCAGATGTTGTTTGCTGGACCCGGGATCTGAGGACCTAAAAGAAAGGGGCAGAAGACAGTGTAATGCCGTAGACAACCTACTTACGTATCAGGGTACTTTTATCCCTGAATGTAACAAAGAAACAATGATCCAAGGAAGGTTGTTTGAGTTCAGAAAAACATGATGAGAAAAACATGTAAATAAACATCAGGAAGCACATACTGAATAGTAACAGAGCAACCCATTCCCAGAACTTTCTTAGGACAGACCAATTTAAACACAGTGCCTGGCATGTACTGTAGACTATATCTGGGACAGCGTGGACAAGGCAGAGCCTTATCCAGATTCAGGGTGCACTGACCAGATTGGGTTCTAGAGCTATGTTCTGACATCCAACAAGGATAAACATGTCCTTTTGTTGGTTTGTTTGTTTCAAGACTGGGTTTCTCTGTGTAGTTTTGGTGCCTGTCCTGGATCTCGCTCTGTAGACCAGGCTGGCCTCGAACTCACAGAGATCTGCCTGGCTCTACCTCTCAAATGCTGAGATCAAAGGTGTGCGCCACCACTGCCTGGCTGAATAAACATGTTTTATAAGTTGAATGTAAATGTTTAACACAGGAGGCATGAAATCATATCCAAGAACAATCCAGGGGACAAAA